GTTGCTATGAACTGTCTGCAAGCTTGTCAAACTCTTCCTTGGCCTGCCAGATCACCAGATCTCTCTCCCATCGAGCATGCCTGGGATATAATGGGAAGGCAATTGCATCTGGCACGGAATGTTGATGACCTCGTTCGACAATTGGATCGAATTTGGCAGGAAATACCGCAAGAGACCATCCGGGAGCTTTAACGGTCTATGCTACGCCGTGTGGCAGCTTGTATCGAGGCTAGAGGTAGGTCAACACCTTATTGAACTTGTTACTGTAACTCTGCAATAAATTATTCAATTGTTCTGAAATTTTAATCATCTACTATTCTGTACATTGTCTTCCTATCCACCAATTTTCGTATCAATCGGACAACTCCTTCTTGGTGCGTCGATTTTTTTGTTATAGAGTGTATTTAATATTCTATAAATTTATAAATCTCATATTCTGTATAGCTTTTTGTTTTTTTCTTTTCAATATCCCAAACAGAAGAATAATGCACATAAGGGAGAATACAAAAATTAATATTAAAACCAGAAAAAAACATTATAGAAATCAATCAAATCATTACTGAGGAGGGAGGGATTAAAAATATCAAAATCTGTTTCATTAATAATTTATCTAGAAAACATCTTAGTTTAATCAAGTGTTTAAACCGGTTTTGTTTTTCACTCACAAGTGATTTAACAGATTTTAACAGATTTTTTGCTTTCCTCTAAGTTGTTGCCTTCGATGCGAATACTTTTTGATTTTATTTAGGACAAATACTCTGAAAATATGTATTAAGAATGATCACTAAGGAACAAATTGTATATGATAGAAGTCTACATGGAGCAGCTTGTCTACCTTATTTAATGCATAGATTCATTCAGTTTTTTCCAAAAGCATATACCAATGTTGAATTGCTTGAATGGGAGAAGTTGTAACCTATTACGTTTCTGAAAATCATTTGAATTTGGTTTTGTAACCCAAATTTCAAGCGAAAAAAGCAAAACGAAGAGAAATAAATCACAAATGATATTAAAATGTACATTGTTAACCATCCTCAATGTTAAAACACTGTTTAGATACCGAAGACATTTCTTGCTTATCGAACCGAGACTATAGTATGTCCAATTCTGCGCCTTTATTTGTGCTTTAATCACGTTGTTTTGCTTTATTCTTAAGTTGCACAAAATATACTTCACCCTCATTTGGACCTAAACGCCTTGCATATGAAGCATTAACATATTTAACTACTGTTATATTGAAGAAAATTAGTATCGTCCCAATATACGATCCACATTAATTAATATTGTAGTTATTTTACGGATCGACAGAGGGCGCCACTAAAATTGTTGTTTTTACAAATTTTTTTTCCTTCACCATTTTATCACATTATTTCAGGTTTACATCTTATTTTTATTAAATTTATTATTCGCAATCGCAACATGCGAATATGACATGAGGGAGAGCAAACCGGTTCTAATATAGAGTCTCTCTCTCATCCTCTGCTCAGATACATGGCAATGTACTGCGATGCATTCCATAGTATTTTTCGCGTTTAGATTATCAAGAATACAGTTTATAACTTCCATGAAACTTAAATTAAACACTATGTTTGAAGCAGTTTTGAGATCAATGTAGTTTCAAAGCTTAGAAAATTTAAATAAATTAAGGTTAGTTTCTGTCTTAATTTTAAAATTAAGACAGAAACTAACGTGCTATGAACTTCTTTGACTATCCACACGCTAATGGTAAAATGCCATAGGTAAAGAGTTCTGTTATACGCCACCTAGTTCATTTAGATCGCCGATTTCATTTAATAAAAATTTTATTTTTATACGTTAATAATTGTTTCTATATTTATAAGCGATCGCAACGCTTGAATACGCCATCTGGGGAGAAGACCAGTTCCATGCCTTTGGCCCTTCTCCGTTCCCCTCTCCTCCTCCTCTTTTCAGTTGCATAAGAATGTACTACACTACGATATTTTTTCCTTTTCTTAATATTTTTCCTTTTTAATTAATAAAAATATTTTTTTAAAAATTTCTATGATGCTTTCTTCTAGAACTATGTTTAATGTAGTTTTCAGTCCCATATAGTTTCTCAATTTAAAACAATTTAATCTATATGAAAATCAAGACAGAAACTAACGTACTTCTTTCTCCTATGACTCTCCACACGCTTATGAGGAAAGCATGTAAAGTGTTGCCATAGGTAGAGAGTTCTGCCCTACGCCACCTATGGCCCATTTCGATCGCCAATATTAAATTCGTTTATATATTTAATAAAAATTATATTTAAAAAAAATATTTTTATAAACATTTTAGTAGCGCTACCTACCGATCTATAAAGAAACTACCCGAAGGTAGATCGTATGTTGAGGCAATACTAAAATATTTATACCTCCTATTAAAGTGAAGCAGATAATATTTACAATGAAGTTGACGGCGCCGAGGATGACCATAAGCATGGGGTATCTCGGTATCGTATCTTCATGAGATGCGTGGACGATGGTTTGCACTGATTCAACTAAGGCAGAGAAGCAAAGGGCAGACAGGAACAACATGTTGACAAGCAATCCCAGCACTTTTACTCTAGCCCAACCAAATGTATTCTTCATGGTTTTCTCTTTGGACATCTAAAACAGAAAAATATTAAATGAATGTAAGACGCTTCAGAAAATACTTTTATTTAAAACTATTTTGTAAACGTACCGTTTATGATATTTTTATTGTTATAATAAAATATGGCACATTGAGTGCTTCAAAAATAGTTACATAAAAATATTTTATTCGATTTCGTAAACCATACTTTTATTCTTTATTAAACATAATGAACCTGTTGCCTGACTTTAAAACTAAGTGGATATTTTCAAATGTTAGCTACTACTTGAAATTTTTTTTATCACATTTTAAGATTTTAGATGAGAATAAAGTTGTTTCTATTATTAATTTTATTTTTTTCCTGTTCCCGCCTGGGGAATGACCTACGTCATACAGACATCTGAAGGGCAGTTTTGTTGGCCACTTTTCCAGGGGCACCATATTAGGTGGGCCAACATTGCTCCCACAGTAAGGACAGATAGCACAGAGTAGGAAAGAACATCCATGCCTTGTCCGGAATTCGAACCCAGAACCTTTCCAAAGCGAGGGCAATTCCTTAAACCCTACACAGGCCGGTCAGCCCTATTATCAAAATAGCATGAGGGATATGAATACCTTATTATTCCTAAATAAATTCTAAGAATTTAATGATTAAGTAGTATTTCTTCCGGATTTTTTTTATTTTTAAGAAAATGACTTGTTCTCAAATTAGCGTAATATCGAAATTACGAATTGTGCTTGAATATTGAAATTGCGAATTTTTAGGTGTGGTTAAATACAATGATTTACAGTAAATTAATAAGGTGAAATATTTTCAGTTATTCTTAAATAAAACTGATCTAAATCATACTAATATTTTTTTTTTAAATCAACAGAATTTTTTTTTTTTTAAAATATTCTTTTTCTAAATTAACGTGTGGAGTTGTTCTGAGGCTCACGTGTTACGTCGTAGTGTCATTAAAATCAAAACGTTTGTTTCTTCACTTGTTTAGCAATTCTATTCGTGTTTTTGAAGGTCATAACCTCTAAAACTTTCAAGAAAGCGATTTATCTAAAAATATCAAACTTAGCTGCATCTTCATAAATTTATAATTTTAACGGGAAACATTTTCATATTAAAACAGAATGGGTTCTGGAGATTCAAATAAACTATTTAATTTTTTCACAGACAATTTAGAGTGTTGAAAAACTAAACAACTATCACAAATTAACAAAATAATCACATCATTTAAATCTTAACAGCCACTTGTTTTCTCTTTTTTAATTCTAATTCAAGGTTGATTTAAGCAACGCAACGATGTGGCAGGTTTCCCGTCAATTCGAGGTCATCTAAAAGGAAGGCCTCTTGTTCATTTTCATTTGAGCAAGTGTATGACAAATATATATATATATATATATGTATATTAGTTTAGTTAAATGATTTAATATTATTTTTGAAAAATAAGTAAATAAATAAATTACAGTTTAATAAAAGTTTTTGATAGTAGTTTTCTCTTTTAAAATTAAAAAATGTATCATAATCATATTTAAACATATTTCATCGAAATTAGTGTTACCGTTATCACGTAACAAAGCTACTGGAGACATCTTATTTCTTATAGCATAAATTACTTTTATTACTTAATATTTTTTAAAATTTCAGAACAAATCATATATCATATTATGAGATTATAAAAAGTAATCAAAAATAAACTTTTTTTTTTAATTTTTTTTTTATTTGATAATTATTATAGAAAAGTACAGGAAATTTATTTTTTATAACAATTGTTTTTTTTTATATAACAATTGCTATTCAAAATAATCGCATAAATGTTACCATTTTGGGTCTGAAATTACGCCTTTAAATTTTTTATTAAGATTAAAAATATTAAATATCATAAAAAGCATGAAAATAGTTTTTGTGTAAATTTGCTACCACTTTTTTTCATAAAAGAATACAGTTTTCACGTGACTATGCATCAGATCTAATATTTTTTTTTTTTAGATCAAGATAGCCTGGTTGGCAAGGCGCTGGATTCACGTTCCTGAGAACGGGAGTTCGAATCCAGCCGGCCGAAGACTCCCCGTGCAGAAAATGGTGACTGGTGCACGTTAAATCTGTCGAGTCATAAAATCCTCCATGTTCCCTTAACAAATTATACCTCTGGGGGTATTGAATTGGAGAGTGATCGTTCTCTGGTTCAAGTCAAAATTGCGATCTGTGGACGGATGTGAGAATGGGTCCGCCCTATAAATGGGTGTGACGTATGGGTGTGACAGAAGGCAAAATCTTAGCCATAGATGGCGCAACTGGAAAACAAGAACAATCACCCCCCCCTTGCCTTAATTGCCTACAGCAATATATATCTTTGAATCATAATTAGCAAAAAAACAATTCACATTTGAGGTCTTCATTTGAATATTAAATGTATGTAATTAAATGGCAAAAAAGTAGCGTGATTAATATAAAGTAAAATGGGGGCGTAACGATTAGGCTGAGCGTCTCTATTAGAGAGATCTCGAGTTCAAATCCCTGCTGAGACGGTTGAATCTTATCTCTAATATTCTTTTCTAAAAAAAGGTGATAACTATCTAATATGTTATATACAATTTACAAAAAACATTTTTTTTATTAAAAAGTAATTTTTTTAAAAAATATAAAATTCTTAAAAACAAAAAAATTAAAAGACTTTTTTAATTAAAATATACTGATTATTTTAATCCATTTATTTCAATTAATTTTTATTATTTTTTTTTAACTAGAATGTATGGATTATTGGAAAAAAAATTACAAAATTTTAAACTAAGTTTTAAATTGCAATTTTTTAAAAAATAAATCCATATATTTTTATTAAAAAATAAAATTTTATTCATTTCTAATTTTAAAGAAAATTTATTTAAATTCTAAATTTTATTTTAAATTATTAATTTTTTACTAAAAAATAAATATCTATAAATTTATTTATTTTCAAAAATTGAAAGTTTATAAAAAATTGATTTAAATCAAAAAATAATAATTTCTAACTTAGACAAAACATATTAAACAGTTAATCATATTTAAAATAGAAAATTAGAGACTAAATTCTACCGTCCCAACTGGGATTTGAACCCAAGATCTCATTGATAGATGACGAACATTCAAACCCTTACACCACGAATATTTAAGATGGCAAAGTTTTTGCTATTTTGAAACTAAGTGAAACATAGTTAAAAACTAAATGAAATAAATGAAAGTTTAGTTAGTTTGAAACTAAATGAAACTTACTTTAAAACTATTTGAACTAAATGAAAGTTAGTTTAAAACTAAGTAAATTAAATAAATGAACTACATGAAACTTACTTTAAAACTAAATGAACTAAATAAATAAACTGAATGAAAGTTAGTTTAAAACTAAATGAACTAAATAAATGAACTATATGAAACTTACTTTAAAACTAAATGAACTAAATAAATGAACTGAATGAAAGTTAGTTTAAAACTAAATGAAAGTTAGTTTAAAACTAAATGAGCTAAATAAATGAACTAAATTAAAGTTAGTTTAAAACTAAATGAGCTAAATAAATGAACTGAATGAAAGTTAGTTCAAAACTAAATGAACTAAATAAAAGTTAGTTTAAAACTAAATGAGCTAAATAAATGAACTGAATGAAAGTTAGTTTAAAACTAAATGAACTAAATAAATGAGCTAAATGAAAATTAGTTTAAAACTAAATGAACTAAATAAATGAGATAAATGAAAGTTAGTTTAAAACTAAATGAACTAAATGAAAGTTAGTTTAAAACTAAATGAACTAAATAAATGAACTAAATGAAAGTTAGTTTAAAACTGAATGAACTATATAAATGAACTAAATGAAACTTAGTTTAAAACTAAATGAACTTTAATAAAGCATATTTTATCCTAGTGGCAGATTGATGGCCTAAGTGTATCTTATCCATGCTTTTCAAACATGCTCTTAATTTTAAGCTTAACTTTGGTTTAATAGGAATTTTCGAGCTGCGTACTTCCCTGTAAGAATAAATGAATTATTGAAATTAAAGACATAGCTTACTCTATAGCTGATGACAAGGAGAAGAAGTGATAAAATATTATAGAGCATGTGGTATGCGCTGACGAGTAGCACTATGGACTGTGTGATGTGACTGGCAACGATCTCAGCGCCGAAGACCATTCCTGACAAGGATATCATTAAATATAGGACTAATGACTTCATTTTTTTCCCTTTCTGTTTTTGGGATTACTCTGAAAATAAAAGAAATGTCAATATATAATCTCTAAAGCTGTTAAAAAGCACATTATCTAGCTAAGGCAAAGGTGAATTTCAACGAGCCGTTTAAGAGCGGACATCTTTTTAAGTAAATACTAAGTCATTAAAATAAATTTGAATTCAAATAAATGACATGTAATTCGTTAAACCTGTTAGAAATGTGCTATAGTATAATTCGTGATATAAATCAAAAATCGTCAAATAAATTCGTAATATATAAATTCGTGAAAAAAAGCGCTTTCGACAAAATACTAAAATAGAGATCTATCGACAAAGACTACTCACTTCTGCCTAGCTTAATAGTATGAGATTGCCGCAGCTGATGCTCTCTGGTTATTTCAGTTTCCGTTTTTAAAAGCGCTATATGTTGAGCCACCTCAGCTAGATTTGGCATGTGACATTTTTAGCGGCAATCATTGGTCGATTCTCCGTGTAAGAGAAATAGTAACGTTAACAAAACAAAGCAAACGTTGTCAACGGCGGAAAAGAAATACAGCCAAAATTTGGGAGCCACGTAAGAGAATTATATATATTAGATAATACCTGATATAATAAATATTCTATATTTATATAATATACCGTCTAATTTATCCAATCGTCGAATTTATATTATACATCGTCTAATTTAACCACGAATTTAAACAAGTGCAAACCGGTTTCAGTCGCGTAAAAAAATAAGGCTGTATAGTATTACCTGATAATTAAGATTTTACATAGAATTTTATAGTGCGTCTAATAATTTGGCCAGGAACTGTAGATAGACTGCAGCTTAGGGCCACGAGAACTGAAGGTCCCCCAAACCAAAATATCTTTTTATTTTTTTAGCATTTCTTAGAGTTGTTGAAAATCTGCATCCCCCAAAAACCAAAATACGTTTTTTTCTTCTTCTTTCTTTTGCATTGTTCAGCGCTGGTCAAAATTTGCAAATCAACAAAAAAGATTTCTTCCTAATTTTTTGTAAACTCTTTCCCTAATTAATATCCCTTGCAACCTTTTTCGGTGTCAAATTTCTAGGACCATCCTTGCTTGCAAATGGAAGCGTTTAATAAATTGGAGGATTCTTAAATTGGTATCACATGACTTCTGAGCAATAATAAGACAGATTTCACCACCTTCTTCCAAATAAAAAAAGTTATGATCGAGCTTAAAACGTGTTTCTGTTGTAACTTTTCCTTTGCTTCTTCTTTCTTTTTTCCCTTCAAAGAATAAAAGTTACGTGTTGTGCAATAAAAGAAAAGTTCTACATTATAGCCACATCATTATCGCCATACCTCTTAGCTACATTTAAGTCCATATATAACTAATATAATCAACAACGACGCAATATTATCGCATGTCATTAATTTAGTGTTTAATAATCAACAATAAAAAACAATGAGTTTGTTCTTGAAGTATGGAAAACTAGTTGAACATATAAGGGCCTCACTCCCTTCAATAACTTAGGGTAGCTGTTCAAATTTTTCTTCCAGTTAACCACGGATTTAAAAATAAGCTTTGAATATACTAAAAAAATAATTTGGAAACATTTATTAAGAAGAATGAAATTTATTAATAGACGAAATAAGCAGAATTATGGTTATTAAAAAAAGACTTCTTTTACTCTGTTAGAATGGTTATCGGAGAAAGATAATTATTTATTCTGGAATTCGGTAATTACATTTTGAATTTTGAAGTTCGGTGAGAGATACTTCTGCATTATATAGTTGAGAAATAAATATGGAAATTTAAAAAAAAAAAAAACTCAGTCTTTTTTTTTTCTTTATTGAAAAATTTTATAACATAAATTTTAACTGTAACATAAAATTAACCGTAATATTACATAAATTTAACCGTAACATAACATAAATTTAACCGTAACGTAAAACAAATTAGGATGACCCATTAAAAGTTTCAAAAATAACTATCGGTTAAAAAAAAAAATCTAAATTGCGGAACCCCTGTGAATTTCCCACGGAATCCAAGGGTTCCGTCCGACATCTTTCAGGAACCACGGGCTTAGAGCCTCTGGCTAAAATCTAGACCTACTAGGCAATGTGCAGATCTGAGAAATTAGGTCTAGGTGATTTGAGAAATGAAACAATTCTTTGGCACTTTAAAGTATCGCTCTATTCAATCTGCTCGTTAACCAGGATCGAAACTAGGATCTGCTTATTAACTAGCAACTAAAAATCAGTTTTTCTACAGATTATAAAGCTAATGCTTGATTAACTATATTAACTCGATACTCTGTAGAAAAGCTGATTTTTACATTCAGTTGTTGGATGCATATGTAAATGCAAATCAGCGCTTGTCCTGAAAATTGTGTGGCTTATTACTTTGTTTCCCAGTTTTTTCCTATATTTATCCATAGGTTAACATTAAGAAAGGAGAAAAGTAAAATCTGACTGAATGGAATGTATTCAGAGTGATTTTTCGCATCGTAGTGTACACATATTATACAAAACAATAAAATTTTAATCTCTACATAATTTTTTGGATTTTTGCATAACAATCATCATGCTTTAGAAGACTCATCTAGGATTTATTAATTAGTCTAGACCAGAGTTTCATAAACTGTGGATTCCGACCCCAATTGTGGTCACGTGACCCGCATCAGGCGGTCACTAAAAATTTTAGCAATTTTGATATTTCTTTGACATAGTATAATATTTTCATAGTAACCAAATATATTTGTACAATGAATCTGAAAATAGACGCGGATAATACAATACAGGCAAATAAAACTAAAATGTTTCGACGCATTCTTATCTTTGCATTATATTCATTAAATTTGTTAGCTTGTAATTTTATTAAATTTTTCACATTATTTTACTCTTTAAAATTGAAAAAAAATTAACGTTCGAAAACTGCAAACAAGTTAAGAAACTGACGATTTGTTAGATTTGCGCAATGCTTATGGGGTTCCCCACTCCGAAAAGTTTAAGAAATTCTGGTGTTTAGGTGTAGTGTAGATAATCTATGTAAGTAAGGAATTAGATTGAATGATGTGCTTCTCTAAATAAATTTAACCTATTTTTTCTTCAATATCCTCGCCATTTTTTAATTTTTTTAGGTCGCTACGAAATTTGGGGTTGTCATAAACTGGAAAAGATGGTCCTGATAGTAGTTTACTCAGAAAAGCGTGTTTTTTTATTTATATTTGTAAATTATATTTATTTTATTTTAATACCTTTTAAATCTTATTTTTTAGCCTTCGTTGAACGGCCGATCCAATTCAGAGTTTACAAGTATCAATGCTGAAATTCGTGGCGTTATAATTTTGAACCCAACCTAAAAGACAGGAGAACTCCTGGATCAAGCATTAAGACAAATTAGCCATCGTGGAGGACTTTTTGATGAAAAAAAAAAGTCAAAGGAAAATTTCAAAAGTAAAAATGACATGCTTATAATTATTTTTCTATCATACTTAAATTTGATAGTTTTATGTCTTTATGTTTTAAATAGCGGTGGAGTTCGGCAGCGTAATCCACTGTCGCTTTCTAAATTCCAAAGCTGCGCACCAGCTTTTATACTTTAATTTCTCTTCTTCTTAAATTTAAATTTATTAGGGGCTCAGCCTACTACAGATTATAACAAATTTAATAAAATTTATAATTCGAAATTTAAAAAAATTGGAACGCAGTATTCTTTTTCGTAGCTGCAAAAATAATGATTTCCCTACCAATAATTTTTGCTAAACTGAATTACGAGACATAAAAAAAAAAATTAAAAATAACCTTGGTTTAAAATTACTCAAAATTTAAGGAATGCATCAGTAACATTTACTAATTAGAATGTTCTTAAATCATTTCTCTACAAATGTGCAAAATTTGATTTTTTTCATTCACTAGTTCTCGAGTTTGAGAGCGAAAAGCGCACTTGAAAATTTTCTGAAATTTCAAATGTAAAAATCGTCATAATCATTACTTTTAAATATAAATAATGGGTAATTAATACGTATGGGCCGGAATAACCTGGTCGGTCGAAAGCTGGGCCATGTCCGAGAGTTCGTGGGTTCAAACCTCGCCGGCCGAAGACTCCCCTATGTAGTAAATGGTGACTGATGCACGTTAAATCTGTCGAGTCGCAAAGTTCTCCATGTTCCCATAACAGATCAATACCTCTGGGGTACTGAATTGGAGATTGATCGTTCTCTGATTCAGATCAAAATTACGATCTGTGGATGAATGAATGGGTCCGCCCTATAAACGGGTGTGACGTATGGGTGTGCCAGAAGTCGAATTCTAGGCCATAGATGGCGCCACTGGAAAACAAAAACAATCGCACTCCTCTACCTTAACAAAACATTCGTGCAACAGCCCATTCTGGGTCAGTGAGTTCATTGCTTTACAATTTTGTGACCAACTGCATGATGATGCCAATGACGTCAGCATTAGGTACTGGCCAACTTTTGCTTCCCAGATGAACTAGTACCCATCCAGTTGAAGATGGATCGGTTTAAAGCCGCCGTCGGGGATCGAACTCCAGCTCTTCGCAATGACTGTTCATTGTCTTAACCACTGGGGTGATCACGACAAAACAATTTAATTTACAGAGAGACATTAAAAATGAATGATAGCGAGGTTTGTTGTTTCTTAGTTTCGTTCGTATATACCGTCCTCTAAAAATAAATTGTAATTTTTTTGGGTAAAGTTTTAATGCTTTTGAACTCTTTATTTACTTGGTGAGAGAGCCTTAAGGGGATATGGAACCCATCCTCATTAAAAAATGCTGTTTAGAACATTTTATTTTATTTTATAATAACATAGAATAAAATGATCTAAGCAGAACTTAATAACGTTGAACAACAGACCCGATTCTGAGTTTACAAATATCAATGTTCAACTCCGTAGCCTTGTAGTTTTGAATCAAATCCTGAAAACAAGGGAACTACTGTATCAAGCAGTGGAACTAATTAGCCTTCGCGGAGATCTTCGTGATTGAAATAATCCGTATTTGCGTTACACGGAGAGAAAAACCAAGAAAACTTACCCTG